CTCCCCCAAGCCCACCGCTGGTCAGTTTCAGCAGCAGCGGACTTGGGGAAGCTGTGGGGCAGAGCAGCTGGGGTGCTGCAGGGTTTGTATCCTATTTGATTACAAATATTTGCATGGTAAAAACAGTATTTCAACCCCCTTCCTAGTACTGTAGTGCAATCTCTATCATGAAAAATTGAACTTCCAAAATGTAGAATTAACAACAAAAAATGCACCCAAAAACAACAATGTAAAATTTAACAACCTGAGTCCACTCAGTCCTACTTCTCGTTCAGTCAATTGCTCAAACAAGTTTGTTTCACATTTGCATGAAATAATGCTGCCCAATCTTGTTTACGATATCACCTGCAAGTGAGAACAGGCGTTCACGTGGCACTGTTGTAGCTGGTGTCCCAGGCAAATATTTGTAATCAAATAGGATACAAATGCTGTGCACTTTACATTCAGTTGTAATTTAAATCAATATAGCTGAAAACTTAGAAAACATCCATAAATAATGGGTATTTTTTAACAGTGCCGTTAATTTTAGTTTTTTTTTTTAATCATTTAACAGTCCTACTTCTTAACATGACAACATCTCATGCGTGCTTTTCTAAGCCCAGGTCTACACTACAGACTTAGCAGTAGAACTACAGAGCTTAAAGGTGTGAAAAATCCCTTTTGAGTTACATCAACCTAACCCTTGTTTGAAACTCTGCTGTGTCTGCAGGTGAGCTTCTCCCACTGACATAGCTACTGCCTTTTGTAGAGGTAGATTAACTATGCCTACAGCAGGGCTACTCAACATGTGGCCCGTCTGTTTGCAGCCCGCGGTACTGTTTGGGCTTATGCGGGGCTCAACATACTGCCTGCGGGTGGGATCCTTTGAACATGGCCTCCACTGGGAATACGCTCCACAATGGTGAGGCGTCTCCCAGGTGGCGTGAGCATTTAAAGACACAAGCAGACAGGCTGGCTGGAACAGATGGGTAGAGGGTGTCAGTGTTGCTAGCCCCCAGGGAGAAGGTGCTGGGGCATTGTGGAAAGTGCTTTGTATTCATACCTGTCAGTGTGAAAGAAGATATTTGCATGTATATGCAACCACACTTAACTTGTGGCCCTCCGCATGTGCTGTGAGTATCATTGTGGCCCCTGAGGCTTCCAAAGTTGAGTAGCCGTGGCTTACAGGATTCTTCCATTGGCATAGGAATGGCTTCACTCAAGCTCTCAAGTGTTGCAGCTGCACTGATGCAAGTGTAAATCTGCCCTATGTTTTGTTCACTAAATCCAATGTAGGCAATACAGTAAAAATAAGTAACAGAGTACTACATGTTTTAGAGCATTGTTAGAGAGGAGGCTGGCAAGGGAGATAACAGATGTATACAAAATAATGAATGATATGGAGAAAATAAATTTTACTGTAAATGGAAGAACAGATGCAACATCTAATGAAATCAAAAGGCAACAAAATTCAAACTTCTAACATATAATAAATCTGTGTAATATATTGCCATAAGAGCTTATTGACACCAGGAGCCTTCCAACTAGTACAAATATTTATGTGGATAATGAAAATATCAAATAGTACGTAGGACAGGAAATAAGTGAGAGTTAGACAGCTGCATGTATCAGACATATACCCTGATTGATGGTATTAGGGAAACTTTTTTCTCTTTTTGGACATAATTATTCTTGAACTTTTATCTGAATTGTCCAGTACTGGAGTACTATTCCAATTCTGGTACAGAAATTTTGTGTTCTGAATCATCACTGATTAGAGGGGACTTCCAATATAAATGCCCTTTTCAGGGACTTATACATTTTATAAGTTTAAAAAAGTGGCACATGTCATCTCAGACTGGGAGTAAATTGTTTTGGGAAAACCAGAAAAAACGGAACCATTTTAATTATGATTGCTAGACCCCTTTTCCACCTGCCTCCAAATGTAACTGAAAAATAGTGTAATTTAAAAGCTAACTTTAAAATTGTTTTAATGAGTTCCAAGTGATTCAAGAAGGAAGGCAGAAGATGGACAGAAAAGGCCATTACACATTTTAAGAGTTTCCCACAAAAATGTATTAACGTTCTTTGGTAGCCAATCCAACTACAAATGCAAACTTGCGTAAGAGTATAGCTGCCTTTTCCCCCCATTTTCACTGTAACTATTTAATGTTGTTGCAGATGCATGAATTAGAAGTGAAGCATTAGCATGGGAAAATAATTTGCCCAAGAGCTTTTCAATATCTTGCTTCAAATAGTTACGTATATTTAGCACTGAAAATGTCATTAGAAAACTCCTTCATGTCTTTCCATATGTGGATTTTGTATTCACTTTACTAGGTTACAGTTGTATTGTACAATTAAAATTAATCATGAGTGGCCAAACACAACATTAAAGTTATCTGGTAATCCCTTCAGAAGAAGCAAGATGTCACCTCTTATCTGTACTAGTCCTTGGAATTGACATAAAAACATGTTATCCAAATATTTTATGAGGGTATAGCAATTGAGATGTTCATATCATTTTGTACGAATACTATATGCCTTGGTTTCATTGTTTGAGATTGTGGCTGACTTCCGAGAGCAGGGATGAGGATGCTGCGGTGCAGATCGGGGCCTTGGTCTCACCTCTATCTGCCTCAGGGTGAGCTGGTCTCCAGCCCTTTGGCAACTCTGAGCCTTTTGTGCAAAAAGGAGCTCTGTAGATGGCTCCTTTTTCCACAGAAACCCCCATTGTGCAAGAGCCGTTCCTGAAAAAATGAGGAAGAAAGGCTCCTGCGCAAGTGGTGGGTTTTGCACAAAAAGGAGCCATCTACACAGCTCCTTTTTGCGCAAAAGCCTCTTGCACAAAAATGGCCCCTGATTAATTATGCAAATGAAGCGTGATGATATGCTAATCTGCACTTCATTTGCATAGGCTGTTGCACAAGAAGGGTGCTGTATAGACGTAGCCTTAGACTTATGGGCCAGAGAGAGGTGAAGGTAATGAAACTTGTCACCTGAGTTGCACTCATGAATGGCTGCAAGGGGGTATAAAGTACTGTTTGCCCTGTAATTGTATGACAGGATGGTGGCAATAAAATTGCCTTTCACCCTGGTAATCCAGGCTAACGTGGAATAAGCTGTGAAATTCCACTTGGAAAAAGTGTCCACGGAAGAGACTCAGGGAAAGATCAGTTGCAGCTCCTCTCTGAGCCATACGGGTTATGCTTTGAAGCAATTTGTCCCTTTTTCTTAATATCCCTGAGGCTTGTCTGTAACCATGTACAGCTTTTAAATATCAATGCCATTTATTCCTAGGATTATCATGTTGTTTTACTTCACCTTTCAAGTGGAGACCAGAACTTCATTTATGATCTTGACACCGTGTTGCCGTTTCCATGTCCATTTGACATTTACATTGAGGAGGCATTTAAATCAGATGATGATCTTCTTCCAGAATTCAGAAGGTGAGAAGATTAACACACACAGGGTACAGTAGCATTTCTCAAACTGGGGGGGAGGGGA